TATTTTTTTATATTTAATAACTTAAACTAATAAACTAATCAACTAATTTTTTATATAATATAATATATAACTTAAACTAACAAACTAATAATTTATACTAACAAACTAATTAACTAGATTTTAGTTTTACCCTAAACCCTAAACTAACAAACTAATAATTTCATATAATAAACTAAATTAAACAATAAAAAATCACCTCACAAACTATGTTTGATCCTTTATCTTATTTTCTTCTTCTTCCTTTTCTTTCTCTCGGCAAAGTTTATATGTGCTTATGCTTATGCTCCTGGTTCTGCTTCTGCTTCTACCCTAAACCCCATATCATTTATATAAAGCAAAAAATCGTTGTACAGAGTCATTAAAATTTGACCATTGAATAAAATAATATTAGGATTGAATCGTATAACTATTGAGCATTGAAAGTCTTCAATTGAACATCAATATTTGCTGCATTTAACAGCTAAATTAACGCTGCAATCATACAGCTATGGATGCAACGCATGCAGCTACGGATGCAGGAATCTCCCAGCTAGCTATGGATGCAACGCATGCATGAGTGATAGGGTTAAAGCTTGGTCGCGATGCAGGAATCTCCCAGCTATGGATGCATGATGATGCAGACCTACCATGTCGACCTACCATGTCGCCGGGACTCCATGGCGACCTACCATGTCGCCGGGACTCCATGGCGACCTACCATGTCGTCGGCCATGGCAACCTACGATAGAACCAATCCTTGGTCGCCCCAAGTGCCCCATGCATGAACCGATCCTTGTTCATCCTTGGTGCATGGCCCATGCAGAGGTTTGCCGAGATCAGACCACGTGAACAAAGCGCAGCGCGACCTATCCCATGCCTCGTGCATGGCCTATGCATAGCACCAAAGCAGCATCAACGGGTAACAGCGGGCAAAGAACCAAAGCAGAGGGCAAAGAATGTTGGACGCCGGGCATGCATGGCGACCTTATAGGACGCCGGGCGTGCATGGCGACCTTATAGGACGCCGGGCGTGCATGGCGACCTATAAGGACGCCGGGCGTGCATGGCGACCTATAAGGACGCCGGGCGTGCATGGCGACTTATGTTGTCACTGTAGAATTTACCCCATTCGAGCAATTAATCTGGTCAGTGCATCATCTCGTAAAATATTTTTTTTGAATGCATTATGTCGTGAGTTTTGCCCTTCTCTTCTATCCTTCCCTTTTCCCCTCTTCTCTTACTTTCTAGTATCAACTTAAAACTAGGGTTCTTTCTTAATTTCTACTCTCATTTTGTTTTTTTTTTCTTTTATATTTGGTTGAGTCTAATTAACCCAATGTTCTTAACTGAAGAAGCTGCTCAATTCCATTATCCGGTTCACGAAACCAATTTTACACCCGAAGAACTTCAAGAGTTATTATTATTTTTCGAATCCGAAGAACCAGTTAGTTCAAACTCCGGTTCGAAAAGTTCGAGTCGGGTGATATATACACCGGATGAGAGAAAACAAAGGCGTAAGATATCAAACCGGGAGTCAGCCATGCGGTGTCGTTGGAGAAAAAAAGGCACTTAGAGAACCTCACGGACCAAGTGAACCGGTTGAACATAGAGAACCGACAGCTTAAAAACCAGCTAAGTTTAGTTATTAATCAGTATCACGTCGTATGGCTAGAAAATGAACGGTTTAGATCTGAACTCCATGCTCTTTGGGCGAACCTATTGGATCTATACTGGTTTTTAGCCGCCATGCAATGCAATCACGTTAACAGCCGACAATCTTATCAAGTTTTAACTTCAACTAAATCCACGAATTAAGCCGTAATTAAATGCATTAAACTATGGACTTCATGAAGATGAAAATTAGAGCTTAATTTATCTCTCTTTCTGTTCTATACATATATATATTAGACAACATTGGTCAAAAAAGATGATGGTTTCGATAAACTCCACGTTTATTGTCTTGTAAAAAAAGGTAGTTTTTTTTATTATCTTTTTAGCCGCTAGCTTTTGCATGTTTCTAGCTAGTTAGGGTTAAAAGAGAAAAAGGAATTTTGTGTATGTGTCTTGGTAGTTTGTGTAGTTGGTTTCGTATTGCATATGTATATAATTTAAATCATGTTAGAATTGAGGTTATGATCTTTTATATTGAATAATTAATTAGCATATTTGTATTTTAGTCATCAAATTCTTTTTTATTTCTCAATTAACTATAGAAAAACACTCATTTATATCATGTATAATAAAAAAATATTTTATCAGCCGTGTTTTTTATATGGCATATCATATCTAACAAGTTCGAATTGTTAAATTATAAAATAAATAATGTGTTAACTCATCTGTGTTTTTAATGGGTTAAATTTTTTAAAAATATATCTTCAAAATTGCGGAGAATGAATTGGGAAGGTTCTTACCTGAGTTGATTCGCTACTGTGAACGATGGAGAGGTATTTCGAAAACAACTGAAGCTTTTTCTCCTTCAAGTTTCGCAACGGTGACTACGACAATAAACACTTTCCAAACGTGAATATTGTTACTAAAAGTAACTGCCAAGTTGAACAGGAGAAAAAGTTTATTAGTTTGTCAATACTGTGATAAAAGTTTTTTACTTTGCTAAAATAACATAGGTTTTGGGTCGGTGTTCTTCCTGTTCAACTTGGCAGTTACTTTTAGTAACAATATTCACGTTTGGAAAGTGTTTAACATATTGAATTACGACTGTATGAGTATGAAATATAATCTTTCGATATGCATAACAGCAATAAAAATACTTATGTTAATCATATATATATATATATATATATATATCCAATTTATTGTTTTTTTTGAGTTGAGTATCAAATACCTCGCTTCGGCTCGTTAAAAATTCAAGTCGAGTTCATTCAATTTGAGAGTTGACTGAGCTTTGACTGAATTGATATCGAATAACTCACAATCTATCTCATTTAATTTACATCCCTATTCGAGACAATCACTTAAACAATAGATAATATTAGGGATGAGCAAAACTCGACTTGACTTGAAAAATCAGTTTTTTTCGACTACACTTGATTAAAAAAACTTGACTTGAAATGACTTTGAGTTGTAATTTCATAAAGTCGAATCGAGCCGAAAAAATTTCAAATTCAAGTCGAGTTATAAAATACAACTCAAATAACTCAATTTTTTTTTATATAATTAGTGGATTGTTTTTCAAGATCGAGTTGTGTACCTCGACTCTATATGATATATATGATATATATATATATCACATATAAAAAAATATGAAAAAAAATATATGTATTGTATATAGTTATAAAAAATCATTTAAATCGGAATCAAATAATATCATAATATTATAAATATTTATATTGAAATTTAAACATAGATTCAAAAACTCGATTCGACTTAACTCAACTCGAATTTTATAAATTGGAGTCGACTTTAAAATATTTCAAATCAAATTTAAATTATAAAATAAGACTCGTTAACTTGAATAACTCAAAATTATTTTACTCGACTCGACTTTATTCGATCGAAGGATAATTCCTAAATAATATAAGCAAAAGGTTGAAGAAGATGCTTAAGCCGAAAGATAAGAAAGGTTGCCTCTTCATTATTGTGATTGAAGTAGGCAAAGGTCCCTCCAATGATGGTTTCTTCTCAAACCCCACATATTATAATATTAGCCTAAGGCGAAACCAACGTACATTTTAATCTTATATTAATTAATTTTATTCAAATTTATCTGGGGTGGTTTTTCATAAAAGATTTATTTTTAAAACATTTTTTGATATTAATATTTTTCTAATAAAAGTATCATATCATATTGTCAAGATGTTTCAACCAATTACATAACGGTAATATTTTGTGAAGCACTCTTTGAATGAGTATAAAACCCTCAACAATCTAAAAACTATTCACCAGAGCTTGAATCGCCCAAACAATAAATACTATTTTACATGATAAAAAATAATATTATTCTTTTTAAAGATTTTAAGTTTGAGTAATTATTAAAAATAATGTCATTTTTCTAAAGATTTTAGGTTTTAAGCAATTATTCTTTCTAAAAATTTTGAACAAATACTATTTTATATTCTCCTTTAAATTATTAATATATATATATATATAAATAAAGATAATTGCTAAATCGTTAGTTCTACGTTATAACATTTCTTCTATGGTAATAGTTCATACAAACTAAAATAACAAGTTTTTTTTTTATAACAAAGATTTCCACAAAATTAGTGAGTAGATCGATCTAGCATATTAGCCATGTCTGAATTAAGGAAGTTATAAGCTTACTAAGGGGGGCTGAGTGAGTGTGGGAAAAAAATAAAAACTTTAGTATAATCATTTTTATTTATTCAGAATTTTTTTAATCTATAAATAATGTTTATATATCATGCAGATACAACTATTCTAATTTAAATTTTTTGAAAAGAATAACTCTTATTTTACAATTGAAATCACTAAATAAATTCTAATTTTAATAATTCTAAAATTGTTTAAAATTTAAAATATAATTGAATTAAAAGGTGGGGGGACAAGGCATGTCACACCATCAATGTAGTCCTGTTATTATAAAAAAAATTAATATTTGAATTTAATTTATTTAATTTACATAATTAATATTTTTTTTGAAAAATGACATCGATTAGATTGAAAATTCATAATGTGACATCTTTCCTATTTTCAGACTTGAAATTTAAAATTAAACTTCACGTAATTACTCTTAAAATTTAAAAGAAAAATGATGAAAACAGTGGAACAGAAGATGAAAATAGACTAAAAGATTATGATGGAAGCAGGCAAAAAATCTTTGGAACACTGTGGATGGTACCTTAGAAATTAAAGCAATATAGCCTTGAGTTTTGTCTTTTGACAATTGTTTTTCTCCCACATCTCCTTAAAAACCCAATCTCCTTTGTGTTTCTGGTAGTGTTCAGTCCCAAACTGACAAGTATATCTCGTCTTCTCCGTTTAGTCAACAACCTTCAACTTTAAAACCATAATTCAGATCCTTCAGCTCAACAACACTGTTCTAATGGCGACTACTCAATCATCCAAGCCAGCAGCAATGCAACTCGGTGAACTCCTCAAACAACAACAAGAACCTTTCGTATTAGAGATTTACCTTTCGGAAAAAGGGTGTTTGAGGAAGAAGTTATCATCGGGATCACCCAAGTTTTGCTGCCATGGCAGTTCAGGCAAGTTTTTGAAGATGAACAACAAGGGTATTCCGATTTTCCCTAAAGTATTTAAACTTGTGACATGTAACAAGCTCTTTGCAATCAAAGGGTTGAAGAACAAGAATTCTGATGATGAAAATGGAAAGGTTAGTGCCACTGCAGAGCCGGATAGATTTTCCACCGCTAGCAGCACAACTGTGTATAATTCATGCACAGATAGTGACATAGATGAACCATCGATGATGAAGAAGGTAAAAAAAAGCTTTATAGTTTTATGTTTTATGTGTTACATACAGCAAGAGATTCAAAATTTTGCTACTTATAAAGCTAACAGGCTGCTGCAGATTCCAAGTTTCAATGGAGTTCAAGGCAAAAAAGCCTGTTCTTGAGTGAGCTGATAATGGAGGAATCGATTCTGTCAGCTTCTCTTTGGAATTTACTTCTTCAAGCCACACCAGACAAACCAAGTTGTGTAAGAGAATTACAGGAGGCTGGTGGGTCTAATTCTTTGCCATTTTCGATATCGAAAAGGGTTTTGCAGAAAGCAAAGAGGCTCAAGGAAGACGAAAGGAAAGAGTGTTTAGGGCGTTCAACCCAGGAATGGAACGATTATGAACACCAGAAAAAGGAAGTAGGGCTTGTACTTGGAAACTCCATTGAAGATGAGATTGTAGCTGAAGTTGTAATGGACATGATGTTCAGGTTCCACGGCTAAGATGTGATTTGCTTGTTTCGATCATACATGTCCATTGTTCCTGTCTTAAGTTCAGGTTGATTTCCGTGATAGTAAAGTAGCTAAAAATGTAGAGAATTTGATCCATAATCCTTTTTTGTCAAGTGGAAGATGGCAAGAAATTTATGGTCTCTTTGGGTTTAGCTGGGTATGCAATATACCAATTTAAAAGGAAATTTAGAAATAAAATAGGGTAGAAGTTTCTTGTTAGATAAATTTAGGGAGTAATACTCATTTCAAATAAAAAATTTAAATTATCACTCAAATAATATATTTTTCGGTTACATAGGACGAAAGCACATTCAATTGACTACGTCTCTCCGCAAGCGTTTCTTGTTGGTAGCGCCTTTATCTTATATGATAAGGTGTGCCAAAGCATTACTTCTTGATTGACTTGAGGCATGGATTTCTAACCTATCTCTTATTTAAAATTTTATTTGTAAATTTTTATATTATTTTAATTCGTTTAGTTTCTTAATCAATTTATATTATTTAAATTATTTTGTAATAATTTAATTGTGTGATATTAATTTGATTGAACGTACTGATTTTTAATTTTTATTTTTATTTTTTTCGTATTTAAATGTACTTATTATTTTATAAATTTAATCTATTTAAAAATGTTTTTACAAAATTTATTTTTAAATCATTAATATCTACACTTTTATTTGTTAAATGCTCGAAAGAAATATAATTTTTTACATCAGATTTAAATTTAATTTTGAATAAATTTTCTTATAAAAATAAACACAAGACCTTTAAAAATATAATAAAAATAAATAAACAATGTGAAAAAGAAAAGGCAAGTTACATGGAAATATTTAAGTATTTACTTAAACAATTCTCAAAAGGCCCAATATGGCAGCAGATTGATTGCCCTTACCATTTCTTAGCCCAGAAATCTGTAATAATCCCCAATTTCCCAACCTCGTTTTTAACCCTGTTTTCTTCGAAAGAAATTTCACGCCTTTTCACCTGTTTGGGTACTCGTTACAAGCTTATGCTCTTTTTAGGGTTTTTTATGATTCTCGTGTAAACTGGGGGTTTTTTCAGGCTAATAGCTTTCAATTAGGGTTTCTTTGGTTTCACTCCAATTGGGAATTTCAGGTCTCTTCCACTCTTTATTTTTCAGTGGTTCAGTTTTATTTCTTGTGGTTTGGGGTTAGGGCTTCTACTGCTTTGTCTGCGATAAGGTTTTTTTCCCCTTGCGAAAAATAATGTAATTCACGTTATGTTGTAATTGGGCTTTTTTTATTTGTTATTTGTTTCAGTAGCTAGGGATTTGGGGACTTTTTTTATTTGTTATTTGTTTCAGTAGCTAGGGATTTGGGGACTAGGGTTTTAGCCGAGCATGGAATGTGATAAAGGCAAACTATTCGTTGGAGGCATATCTCGGGAGACAACTGAAGCTATTCTCAATGACCATTTCGGAAAATACGGCACTATATTGAGCTCAGTTGTAGCTAAAGACAGGAACACCAAAAGCCCTCGTGGTTTTGCCTTTGTTTTGTTCTCTGAATCTTCCTCAGCTGATAAAGCTCTTCAAGACACCCATGTTATTCTCGGGAGAACGGTCAGTTCAAAGCTCTTTTGTCTCACTAAGTCATTTCATACTCTATTTTCTTACTGTTAGAAATTGATGAATTGTACATGGAATGAAGTTTAAGGTTTTAAATTTGTTTGAGAAATGATAGCTTGCAGGTTTTTGTTGTTGTTTAATGTATGGTTTATGAATGAGTTTTTCTAGGTAGAAGTGAAAAAAGCTATACCCCGAAGCGAACAACACCAGAGCCAACAACAGCAGGAGCAACTACACCACTATCCAAATCAACAACAGAATAGTGGGTCCAGTACGAATGGTAGTGATGCTGCTGACAGTAACAATAGCTTTAGGACTAAGAAAATTTTCGTAGGGGGGCTATCTGCTACTTTGACTGAGGAAGAGTTTAAGAATTACTTTGAAAGATTTGGTAGAATAACAGACGTTGTTGTGATGCATGACAGCATGACTAACCGGCCTAGGGGATTTGGGTTTGTTACTTTTGACTCGGAGGAGTCGGTGGAGAATGTTATGCAGAAGAATTTCCACGAGGTGAATAATAGGCTTGTAGAAGTCAAGCGTGCAGTGCCAAAAGAGGGAAGTAATGGTCGTTACGGTAATCAAAACTTGAAGCCCGGTGCTGCATGGGGATCTCCTTATAATGGTTTTCAGGCTGTTGAGTTCACTTCAAATGGTTCTGGATACGGAATATTTCCTGGCTATGCTCCTCTTCATGCGCATAATCCGGTTGGGGATTATTTATATGGAACAGGTGTTTATGGCTCTGGGTACCCTATGGTAGGGTATGGTAGGATAGGTTATGGTGTCACTACAGCTACTCCTAGAGGCCCTTTATATGCCACCCCTGTAATGGTTGGACCTAGAGTTTACCCGCTGCCTTATGGCAATCCATCCATCTACCCTGCTTATATGAACGCCGGGGTTGGTCTCATGGGTACAGCTGCAGGTGGGTTCAATGGGATCATTGGAAATGTAAGTGATGGGAAATGGAATCAGGTTCCGGGTGGAAATGGTGATATGCCTGCAAACGATATTCAACCTCAGATTGAAGCAGTAAACAATGGTACTGATAGTTCTGGTCTAAAAGAGCATAGTGGTGGTGCTTCTGCTGAACAGGATCAGAAAATGGTTGATGGGAAACTTAAGCCTTCACATGTAGATGTTTCTAGATGATTAATTGACTCTGTTTAGGCTTCAAAGGGTTAGTAAATTCTTTAACTGACCAGCTTAGGGAAATTTAACCTTCAATGTTCAGTGCCCCTTGTAGGCACAATCTGTGTCATAAACATGCTGCATGTATCTTATTTAGTGTTATCATTTGTGGGTACAGAATTCAGCATTATGTAACATAATTGCATCTGGTTTCCACTTCCATTGTCCATTTCACGTCTCTGTCTGGTAATGTTAATAATGAAACAATGGCTTTTATATGATTCTGGGGTTTCTATTGGTATTGTTGGAGTTGCTTATGCAGAGAAATTCCAGGAGAAATTACACTTTATGGTAAGGACTTTTAGATTTTGCTGAAAAGGTTGATTATGCTGAGCAGTTACACTATGATCTTTGATTAGATTTGAATGCGTGGTTGATTATGATTACATTACTATATTTTGATAATTTTATGCATTTAATTGTTCCTTGGTTTCAAATTCTATCACTCACACAGGAGAGATTTGGTCGGTTTGATCTTATTGTTAAAACTATCTTAGTGAGAAAAAAGAGAGGATAAACTACTTTTTTGTCACTCAATTTTGTATGTGTTTCTGTTTTGGCCATCCAAGTTTTCTGTTTCATCTACAAAATTTTGAATTTCATTCACTGATTGCTCGATAAGTGTAACGGTAGCTTTTAATTTCTAAAATTTTCTTGGAACTTTAACCTTGTTTTTGGAATCCTTCAATTCCGTCGTTACTTATGGCGCAGGATTGCTTTCCCTCGCTACTTCTGGTGCAGATCTTTGACTCTTGGACTTTTCAGAGATGCCTTGTATTAAAAGAAAATTAGTATTTTGAGTAAAAATCCACTTTGTTATTCACCCTAACCTCGACCTAGAACATGAATATTTTTGGGTTACAAGAAATCGTTTGTTGTGGGAATGTGGTTTGTAAAACACCTTGGACAGGTTGTCTTTGCTGCAGATCTTTCGGTTTAAAAGATGTCCTAGTATGGTTGAGGGAGGAGCTAATGTCCCAGCTATAAATTGGTTGAGCCACCCTTCCTCTGCTCCTGGGCTATGACCCCACGACGGCTCTCGAATCAGACACCCCCATGTGCAGCTACCTAAGGTCGTTCTTTAATATAGATAATTTCAATGCACAGATAGATTAATAACCGAGGATAATACTAGAGGTATATCGAAATACATTGCTAATATGACACTTAGAAATACACCATTAAATAAATTATTTTTAATAAAATAATATTAAAAATTTTAAGGAGATTAATCTTTATAAAAGTTTAGTTTTAATTCTAATATAATTATGCTTAAATCGTTCATTTATTTATTATTAAAAAAATCATGATTAATGGACACTGGACGACATTGGGAGGGACAATGCCAATGGATGACGCAAAGACGGACAAAGGGGTGCAAGAAAGTTATAAAACATATCATTTCTTCCCAATGTCCTACTGTGTCCATTAATCATGATTTTTTAATAAATAAATAAATAATTTAAGTATAATTATTTCGATGTGCGACGTTTATTATTGACTCATCCAATAATCAAAATATATTTAAACAAAACCAGTTTGTAGTGTATAAACAACAATAAAATATTAGTTAAAACTAAAAAATTATGTTATTTTTATGCGTATTGTGTTATTTATACTTTTCTGTTTTTATATTTATTAAGGGTAAACTACACGGATGATTTTTATATTTTCGGTCCTTTCGATTTTGATCACCAGTTCGATTAAGAAATATATAAAAAAAATCTACATGTTTTCTTCTTCTTCTTATATATATATATAAGCGACCATCCGTGTAATTTACCCATTTATTAAACATTTGAAAAAAAATTGTCCAATTTCCCATTAGAGAATTTTGTAAGATCCAAACGTAATTAGTATGATGATTTTGGGCCATAAAGGGGTAGTTTCCTTACCAAAGACTTGCATATTTTCAACTTCCCTGAATTTGTACCATGCCCTACATATTTCTAATGTTATTTACATTAAAAATCATGACATAAATTACGAACAAATACAACATGAGAATCTACAACAACACTTTTAAATCAGATCGTGACTGAATGTTTCAACAACAATTTTTTTCTTCAAAAAGAATTTGATAAAAGCAAAAGGAAAAAAATGGGAAAAGCTTTATATATATACCGAGAAAGTATCATTATTTTCAAGTGTGTCTATAATGTCCAAATCCAGGCAATTCTTCCACGGTTTCACCACAATCTTCTTTACGTATTGAGCAGAATCAGATTCGGACTCGGCGAAAAGCGCCCTCAGCGATGTTGGCTGTGTTTTCCTACAAACTTCCTAATCTGTACTTTTAAAGGACCTGTTCTCCAATCAAGTCCAGACCAACCAGAAGAAACGATATCCCTTGAAATAGTAAGAAATAGAAACGGATACCCTGTGCTGATAGGAGGCTCCTTGCTGAAGCTGTTAGGAGGAGGAGTGCAAGAGCTAGCTCCTTCCTATATATCCTATTATGCATCTTTTTCTACCCTTTTCTTCTTGTTTGAGTTTTCAGTTCGTTGAGATTGGGTTCTGATCCCCCACGCTGATGTTTCGGTTGTTTCTCAACCAAGGAGATGAGATCACCCTCGGATGAATGACCGGATTTCTTCATAACGACCCACTCGTGCGCACTGCTGAGTTGGAAAATGCCAGAGATCGTAGCGTTAAATTTGGTCACTGACATTGTGTTCTCAAAAAGAAGGTATGGAACAATGAATGGGAAAGATTTTGGAGCTGGAAGGATGTTGAAGAATGACATTGTAGCAGGGATGTAGCAGACGACCCATGTCGGAAGCTCAGCCTCGGGAACGAACATGGTAATCGGGAGAATTATGCAGAAAAGAGTAAAGGAATAAAACGGCAGGATCAGTTTTCGGAGCAGAAAGAACAGAAAGATCATATTGAATTTCTTCCATACACTAATCTGTACCAATTGAATTACAACCAAACACAACACAGAAACACTTGGCTTAGTTACCTTAAAATGGGGTACGATCCGCTTGAGAAAATCTGGCAGACTTAAGATTACCAGCTTAACAAATTCATAATCTTTAACATAGCTACAACTCATGGCAGACTTAAGATTACCAGCTTTGTAACCATCTCTAATCACACGCTGTCGATACAAAATACGAGCACCTTGTTGTTGCCATTTATGAACCTCTTCTTTAATAAGCAACTGAGTGGTCGGATCATCGGAATCATCCAAAACTTGAATCAAAATTTTCGACTTGGGCCAGTCTAAGTTACACGCTGCAGCTATGGACTGCTGGTAAACCTGCAAAATCACAGATTTACCCCTTAACCAAATTCTAATTGACTCCCTGAGGCAAGCAATAATATCAGTAGTCGAGCACTTCCTATTCTGAAAAATTCTATGGTTTCGCTCTCTCCAAATCAAAGAAATGAACCCATTCCAAGTCAATTTCAGCACAAAGGATAGCAGAGACTTCCCCTTGAACCTGCAATCCAAACAAGTTATAAGTCCCAACTCATAGCATCTCTAGCCCGGTGACACAAACGAAGAATCGTTTCCCAATCCACCCTAGAAAAATCGCATTGGAAGAATAGGTGGTCACGGGATTCCAATTCCTTCCTGCAAAGAACACAGAATTCATCCACATGTAAGCCAAATTCAATGAGCCTACACTTGGTAGGCAGTCTGTCCAACACCGCCATCCAAGCTATGATCGAGTTCTTTGGAATGTGACCGGAATGTCACACAAGCCTTTCCCAAGGAACCTTTTTCCTTCCTTAATCTAACATCTCCCCAAATCTGCGGAACCGAAATAAGGGAGGGACCTAACAGCCCCTGAATGGAAGCAACCTTGTCCTTATAGCGCAACAAGCTCCTCTAAGTCCAGTTACACCCTTGAGTCCTCCCAACCTGCCAAAAGGACTCACTCTTAAGCACATACAAATAAACCCAAGCTATCCAAATCTACCCCTCATTCAAATTAGTGTAGTTAATGTAGTATTAAAATATTGAGGGTTAATTTTTGAAAATTAGGATCAAATTAAAATAAAGACTAAAAGTAAAGGCTAAATTTGCTATTATGCTACTTTTATTAACGCACAATTTTGTTTTAAAGGGGTTTTGTATGTAATTAATGGAATACACATGCAAAATGTAAAGACCTCACAAAAAACCTTCGTAACCTAATTGTAGGGAAAAAAATGCACATTGTCATTGTCAAACTTACAATCGATCAAAGCGCACAACCATATCAGACAATACAGACATCCAGAACTACGCACACAACTAGGTCCTTAAAATGTTCAACGAACTGTTCGTGAACTGTTCGGCGAGAAATTCGTTAATGTTCGTCTATTTATTAAACGAACGAACATGAACAAGATTTTTTATTTGTTTAATTAAATGAACGAACATGAACAAAGAGCTTGTTCGTTCATTTATGTTCGTGAACGTTCGTTAATATGTTTGTTTTTTTATGTTTAGCTCAATCTCTCTAAACCCATTTAAAATATTAAAGCTCAATAAGTTCTAATCCGATACCCATAAATATTTTAAAATTCAATTAATTTTAAATAAAAATAAAAAAACTCAAAACAATTAAATAAAAAATAATCTTAAAATTGTTAAGAAAGAAAAAATATATTTTCATTTATTTTCATTTACGTTAATTAATGTTCATTTATTGTGTTTGTTTACGTTTTTTCATTTGTGTTCGTTTACGTTCGTTTACATCTGTTCGTTTCTATCCGTTCATTCGTGTTCGTTTATCATTTAAATAAACGAACACGAATAAACTACATTCCTTAATGAACGATCATAAACAATAAATTTTTTATTCGTTTATGTTCGCGTTTATTCATTTATTCGATTAAAGTTAAACGAATGAATATGAACATATCATCTTTCGTATTCATTTGCTTTGTTTACATGCATACACACAACCCAAAATCATAAGGATACAATCAACAACACTAGCGAAAATACAAGCAAAAAAAAAAAAACAATAACACCCGCCTTAAGACCTCAAAAGGAAAGTACACAACATCTTAACGTTATCATTCGTACAAGATGTCGGACTAGTAGTGCCTGATCACTTTTCCCGCTTTTAGACAACACAACCAAATGATTATTATGTGATTTTTTTTATAGTTGAGAGATTTAATAAATAAACACATTATAATTGGGGGAGGATTGTTGAATTTTAACCAAAAATGTCTTTAATATCTGATTAAAATAACCATTTTAATCTATATTCTTTTTTGATTCCAATGTTTAATTTTGA